GTTGCATTTTGATCAATATATTTATCAATGAGACAATCGCAAAATGAATTAACTCGAATATCGATCGGCACAATAGATGTACCTATAAATTATATCCTTTATACACCGACCCAATAGATGTATACCTTTTTTCTATCCAATAATTTTTCTTTCTTCACCTGCGATTTTCGGCGCAATTGATATAAAGCCTATTAGTAGAACAGTACAATTATTTTGATTAGGTAGTCCAGCACGTACGTGTCGCCAACCCCACCCAATCAAAATATTGCCTTTTTCTTCATGTCAGCATTTAGCAGCCAATTATTAAATTATTAATATTATTAAATCATTATTACAATAAATTAAATTATTAATTGACGTACGAATTACGGCTGCATACTAGTTGCGCCCCAAAAATATCAACGAAAAAAAGTTTAATCCGAATTGCGGCCTGGGTTTTCTAACTTATTTAGATAATTTAATCTTGACTGATAAAATATTTTGTGAGGCTTTTCAATCGAAATTCAACGCTTTGTTTTACAGTGCTCATCCTAATATTTTTGTATTCATCGATGTTCTAAAAAATGTACAGAAGGATACCCATATAAAATTAAGAAGCACTCACTTAAATACTTGCAGAGCAATTATAATTGAAAAAGAAACATTTATTAGAAATGCTATGAAACTTTTAGAAGAAAACCAAATTAACAAATTTGAATTTATACATCATACAAGTTTTTACCAGTGACAGAATTTTACTAAATTATACTTACATTTTTAACTTCAATAAATATCATGTACGTTTTTAAAAGTGCTGACATTTTTTAATAAAAAAAAAAATTTTAATATCAGATTTTAATTTCAAAAAAACTTTTTAACCATAAAAAATATCATACACGTTTTTACCAGTGCCAAAATGGTTTAATAAAAACCAAACATAATTGTAATTTATAATACATAATTTGTAATTTTGTAAATAATAAGTAATAAATATTTTTTGTTTTCACAGAGAAACCAAATGTTGCTATTATCCGATAAAAAATTTATAACATCCTTATGTACATTTATAAGTAAGCTGTAAGCTAAATTTAAATCCTAAATTTTCCTAAGCTACAGTTTTTTCTTTAACAGTTAATACACATAAAAAATAATTCAAATTAGATATATATATATTCTTTTTTCTTTAGGTATATAAAAAATAATTTAACATATTATAATGATAAAGTATAATATAAACTATATTTTTACTATATCTGAAATTGTAATCTTCTATGTTTTATTTTTGCAAACATATCAAGAGCAGGAGTTGGGTCTTTTAACAATTTTTTCGAATTCTCTTTATCTATAGATAATATAGCAAGGTTACTCAACCTAGGATTTTGCATTGTAGCTCTCAAGTAAGTCTTAATACGCCGCATAGTAGAAAAACTTCGTTCAGCACTAGTTGAGGATACAGGAATTACCATAGATAATTCAACTACTTTTCTCAAATTAGTGAAAGTTTCGCCATAATTACTTATTTGTTGATGTACATCAGATAATGTTGAAGCTTCCAAAAACAAAGATTTCCCAATTAAACACTGATTAACCAATTAAACACTTTTTTATTTATGAAAGTGTAAATAATAAAAACAAATATATATTTGAATTCCTTAATTCTTTACTTGTTTAAACATCACAGTGAACCATTTAAGGTGAACGTAAAAATTTTGGTACGGGCAGCTGCCCACCCTGCCCGTACTCTAGAACCGCCACTGTTTTGAGGGCACTAATGGTGGTACAGGTGGTGTGGTCTTGAGGTGACCATTCTTATGATTCTTACGATAGGTGTTCATAAATTTCTTTAATGAAGGACAACCTTTAAAGTTCGCGGTATGTGCGCCAGAACATAACGCACATTTTGCAAGTAGTTCCGAAGATTTTACACAGTCCTTGGTGAAATGGTTGTTGCCGCATTTGACACAACGTGGTGATTCGCTACAGTAGGAACGAGTGTGACCGTATCGCTGACATTGTTTGCATTGAGGAGGGTAACGGGATTGATACGGATTTTCGACAACTATTTTGGAGTTAAGGAGGGAGGATATTTGGATGATACTCCGGTTAAAATCCCTTGCTTATAGGACAACGGTGAATAGAGATAGAGCTTGTTTACTAATTCTGTGGCGGACGTTTAGCACACTTATGATTGAGAAGCCCAAATTCCGGAGGGCCCTCTCTATATCTTCAACAGGAATAGTATAATGCAGATTACGGATAAACACTTTGAAAGGGCGGATATGACGGGGTGCCCACGTATGGCATTCTAAATCCGATTCGTTACAGTAATCGACTAGTTTATTGTAACCATCAAAATTATGAGGTTTGAAAATAAGAGAGGAACCCTTGGCGGTAGCCGTAAAGCCATCGGTACCCACCAGAGATATTAGATCTGCTTTTAACGAGGCGTAGTTAGTAACATTACTTATGACAATTGGCGGTGCAGACATGCTCGTAACCTCGACTTTTTCATCACCAAGGTGTTTCGATGGTAGAGTACTAGGTTCATGTTGAGTCGAAGGTGAGACTGTGACGGGAAGGGGACTAAAAACCTCGAGGAGGTTATCAGCCATGGTGAGGGGAGCGAACCGATTTGACGACACATAAGACTAACTTTTCTTTAGACTTGAATCGAGATTTGATGAAGAGGAGGACGACAAATTATGTTTGGTCGACTTCAAGGTAGTAGTGCGGGACATGACAGACGGGTCTGCGTATTATCGTACAAAACACGTGAACATAATTAAATAATAAACTGATAATAATTGTGTGCGTGACGTAGTGAACATGCGTGCTCGACGGCAGACGACACAGAACTGTTTATTGACACTTATACTCCAAAAAAAAAAAAAAATTTCCTCGCTACACTCAAATTAAGTGTACCAATCAAAATCATCAATTTACAATACTTAAATAAGTATGTTTTAATCAAAAATAAATTATTAATAAGTAAATTACATTAGTTTTATACTTCTTTCTGTTTTAGAAAATTCGTTTAAAATATCCTCAACGTCTACAAGAATATCTTTTTCTATACCTAATCCATTGAACCGTTTTTGAGACATAGTAGACCTTAAATATAAATTGATCCTTTGCATTGCCGAACATGATTTCTCGCAAGTGGATGAACTGACTGGTAACGTAATTGCTACTTGAACGAGTTTAAATATATTTTAGGGATGGGCCGATACCACTTTTTTCCGATACCCGATATACCGATATATACAACCGATTTAAAACCGGTATCCGATATTATAATCACAAGTAAAAACTAAGTTGATCTTTAATATATTACATAAAAAAATCAACTTTTTTGGCAAAACCATGAACCGATACTAAAATTAATCCAATACCACAAACCGATAAAACCGGTACCCAATATTATAATCACAAGTAATTTTTGCGATATCGGTTCAAATATCGGTTTTGAAAATAAATCGATAGGAACCGATATTTCTGATACCACCAATATCGGCCGATACCAAGTATCGGTTCTAGGATCGGCCCATCCCTAATATATTTAAAAAAAACTTGTTGGGTAACACGTTCCTTTAAATATTCATATTATGCATTACCTATGTCGGTGTATGAACAAAAATAGATATAAAATTTGTTTCGTGTTATACAGTAATTTAGTGTATGTATAACGTAAGTATTTTGGAGGAGGAGCTTTACAAATTTTAGGGAGTACTTAGCCCCCCAGCCACTCATTATTTGTGCCTATGCATATATGCATATATGCCCTCATATATGAGGGTGTGAGAGTTTTTTTTTTTTTTAATAAATTTACTGTTCTCTGATTAAAAAATAAATATAATGTGGAACTCCTTTACCAAATGTTGCAGAATGATAATAAATAGTACTAATGAAAAAATAAACTTTCCCCTTGGTTATTGTTATATTATCAACCACACCTATTTAGGATTGTAAAGAAACCAAAAGAGTAGAGATTGGTTGTATAGGCAATTCATTTGTTAACAAAAAGAAATATCATTTGCCAGTTAAAACTCATTAAACTCAAAACTTTCAATTAACAAGTATTACCTAGTGACTGATAAAATAAAATTATAGATTAATTGCAAGACAATATAGATAGGTAGGTATTTTGTCATTAATAATTATTAAAAATTAAATAAATTATATAATAGGATAGCTATTTCTATAAACAATTAGTACGAGAAGATCAGCAACTCAATTATTAATTAGGTATATTTCATTGTCAATGAAAATTGAATGTAAGTTATCTAGTGTGTTTAGCGTTCAGGGTTTTGACACTTGTCTCTCACGTCTCCTAAAAATATCATAAAAATATCTGTAATTGTCTTTTGGTACTTGTTTCAATTGCCATTTTTGCAGAATCTTAAGTGTTTTAAAAAAAATACAATATAATGTATATAATAATTAATAATTTCAGAATAGTAGGTACTTCCTTTTAGTACCTAATTTATAACAGTCAACGTTTTTTAAGTTGTTAATCCATGACAAAATGACGTCAACAACATGAATCAAGCATTACGCATGTCCGTTTAATATTTTTCGATAAATACCGGGCGTTTTCAATTTTTTCTTTTTCATTACCCTTGCCACCAGCGACGTGCGTATGAGGGGGCGGTGAAGGGGGATATATCCCCCATGGGCTTTTTTTTAGTCCTAAACGTTTAAAAACGTATATAAGAAATATGACGGGGCAGTCATGGTTAAATGGATTGGCGTTAATGAACATACATCGAGACATTCCATTATCTATAGAACAAATAATTGATGAATTTAATGTAAAAACCCGAAGGATGAATTTTCGCCCTGATTGCATTTTTTTTTTTTTTTTGTATAATAATAAAGAATAATGATTGAAAATAATACATATTTATGATATCCCCCCCCCATACCAAATTCCTGCGTACGCCGCTGCTTGTCACTACTACAATACCACCTACTTTCGTAGCCAGTTGCTATCACACTTTAGAAGACGTAAGTTGTGTTTTGGTTAACCTGTAGTTTTAGTCGTATTAATGAACATTAATAGTTTAAAAAGAAATTATACCTAACTATATCATTTGAACATTTATTACTATTCAATTTAAATATTTTATTTTATTGATTTACATAAGATAGTTCTGCTGACAACAGACACTAAATTTACGGTTTTTATCATCATAAGATAAAAAATTAATTGCTATTACATTTTTTAGGTATGTACTATTATTATTATTACTTATTAAAATTTATAAAAGGTGTGTTTTGTTATTTTAGTTTTAATATTTGAGAACACACTGCAGTAGCATAACTACGCTACAAGTAAATTGTAATTTATTGCAAGCTTTTATCAAATATTAAATTATAAATATACTAGCATATTACTTATAGCATATCGTGTTTAATCAATATTTGTATGTTCATTATGTATTTGCTAATGAATTACATTTATATGTAGAATGTGCTTGTACCACAGATTATATTAATTTAGTACAGGTATTGATGATAATAATATAATATTATTGACTAGAATACATGAACTATTTGAAAATGGATTATAAAATGAGAAAAAATAGTTGAATCAATATAACTACTAGAGTTACCTAACTTATTATAAACTATTAATAAATAATTATATAATTATATAATAACATAATAATTATGTTGCCTTTTTTAAGGCAGAAACAATTAATTATAGTGATATATTAATTTTGTGTCCACTCAAATGTTTAGGTTGAATATTATTTTAATAAGAAATATAAATAAATTCATATAAATTTTTTTTTCGTTATTTACTATTCGATATCTGCACTGAAATTTCCATATCTACTTATGACTTACTATATTATACATATGAACAAATATTACTTACTGAATCAATTTCCTGCACATTTTTTTAATTTATTATATTATAATAATATATTTTGTTGAATTAATAATTCCATCTAATTATTTATTTTTATTCATAAACTATATTAATTTATATAGGTTCTTTATTTTAAACCAATATAATGGAACCTATTAAAAGAGTGCTTTCTATTCAAAGCCATGTTGTCAGTGGATACGTAGGTAATAAGTGTGCTGTATTTCCATTACAGGTTAGTACAAATATTATTTTATATTTTAAATAATATTTAACCATTAAATATTTTAAAGATAATGGGTTTTGAGGTCGATGCTATAAATTCTGTTCAATTATCAAATCATACTGGTTATAAAACTTTTTATGGCCAAATATTAAATGAAAAAAATTTGTGTAAGTAATTGATGCATTATATTACTTATTTAAACTTATTAGATTTATAATAAAATAATTACATTTTAAATTAATATATTTTTTAGTGGAATTAATAACTGGTTTGGTCGAAAATGAATTACATAATTATTCTTATTTATTGACTGGTTATATTAGATGCCCAATGTTCTTAAAGAAAATTGCGGAAGTTTATTTAATTTTGAAAAAGAAAAATCCAGATTTAATTTATGGTAGGTATTTATGTGTTTCGTTGACTTTAATTAATTATATTCAAAGCTTTGATAATAACTAGAATTATAGTGTTTATATACCTATTGTATAAATGCACTAGAAGGGAATTATAAAATTTAAACATTTCATATCTAAATAAATCCGTTGACCTTATTTTATATCGATAAATATTTGATAAGTTAACTTAAATTTATTTAATTATCATAACCTATAGTCATTTTCTTTAGCTTTATTATAAATGTATGAACTATTTACAGTTTGAAATACATATTAAAATCTATAGACATTGAAATAATGTATAAATGCTGATAAGTAGGACTTGGATTTTTAAGCAAATACATTTTCTTCTACAATTAACTTGGAATAATTTTGATTACAAATGTTGATGTCTCATTCTGTATAGAATCCTATGGATAATTTTTGTTTTTGCATATTTTGTATGTTTGAGTAAAAATGTCAATGAATGCATATTTCTACATAATTACAGGAAAAATTCATATTTTATTAATAATTAATGAAAAAATACTTAAATTGTATTTTAATTCACAATATTAAATTTTTAATGCTTATGTTTTTATTCTTATTTTTACAATTTATGAAGTATGTATTCATTACATTATTTCTGATTTTATTATTATAAAAGTTATTTCAAGCATTAATTGTTGTCAGAGAGACTGATTAATAGCCTATTGTTCAAATAGCTTGGTACATAGTGGTGGTGCCATCCGATAACATGGAAACAGATTACAACAAATTAAGCAACAAATATACTTTCATATTATTAGTTAATGATAGTGTTGTTATACTATAATATTTTTTGTATATATAATAAATCTATAGTTTTTCTGTTCCATGTCAAGTATTTCATCTATTAAAAAAAGGAGGAATAGGCATAGAATTTGTTAAACTCTTGTAAGTATTGTCCAAAAACCCAGGGTATTCTCAAATTAAAACAAAGTGAAGAAATAAGCGATGAAAATTAAATCATTGTAAAGTTCTCACCTTAAGACATATACTGTTTTAAATATTATGCTGTAGAAAAGAGTTTTACTAAGTATAAATCTGTACTACTTAATAACTGTAAAAACTTCCATTTTAAAAGTCTAAAATCATATTTTGTAACTTTGTGTTGGTACTTGTTCCATAATTTGTGATAGTATATGATGTAAAATATTTGTTATGGTTTTTTAGCACATATTAAAGAATTATTTTTGCATATTTTTGAATTTTTGCTTGCATAAATATATGCATATTTCATAATATTTTTTGGATAAAAATCCAGGCTTAACTAATAAGTAATAAATAATAATGTTAGTATATTTTCGAATAATAATACATTGGGATTTATAGAACAAAATTCATTCTTTAACATTGTGTGAATTGATTAATTTTGTTATAGCTATCTTGTATTTAATGTAATAAAAAACTAATAGTCTGTATTTTCAGTTTGTGATCCAGTAATGGGTGATAATAAAAAAATGTATGTTCCTAAAGAAATATTGGATGTTTATAAAAATGAAATAATTAACTTGACTGATATTCTTACACCTAATGAATATGAGTTAGAGTAAGTTTTTTTTTTTTTTTTTTTTTTTTTTTTTTAATTGTTTGATTAATTATATTACTAGGTTATTAACAGGTAAAACTATAACTACTTCTGACGACATACAAGAAGCAATAAATTTATTGTATGCACAAGGTTGTAAGACTGTTATTGTATCTTCTTCTAATATATCTTCAAATAATGAATTAAAATGTATTGGAAGAAATATTAATGGTTCGTATTTTTGTTAATTATCATCTTAATGTATATCCTATTACTTTGATAAATAAAAAAAAATTAACAAAAACCATAATTATTTCAAGAAATAAGTTTTTTAGTTTAATTTTTCTAAATCAGAATAAGAAGGAAAGTAATTAGTTTAACAAAAATAATATAGAAAAATACGAATACTATGTAAAAAATAAAAGTACTAAAAAAATCATATATATATATGTTAAAATTTATTATAGATTATAAGAAATGCAAGAGAAAGTATGGTTATATTTACTCATTTTTAGTTATTTATATTTATAAAAATGTAAATAAATACATTAATTTATTAATAATATATTACATTATTTTAGTTTCTATTTTTTGAGTAGAATAAATTAAGTAAGTACTTATTTTGATAAATATTTAAACATATTTATTTTATTAGATAAAGTGTATGTTGAAATAAGTATTCCTCTAATCAATCAATCTTTTATTGGTACTGGTGATTTGTTTACTGCATTAATATTAATATGGATGAATTTAACTAATAATGACTTGAAAAAAACAATGGAAAATACAGTTGCAACTATTCAAGCAGTTTTACAACGAACTATTAAAAGTAAGTATCAAATAACTGTTATAGCTTATTTGTATTTGATTAAAGTGTAAACATATTTATTTTTTTTTTTTTTGTGGCAGACATAAATTCAAAAGATTCAATAAAATCTAATGAACTTAAATTAATTCAAAGTTTGGATGATATTCGAAACCCTGAAGTCAAAATATTTGGTAGTATTCATGCAATTATCTAACGAGTATTAGTTTACACTAATTTATAGATACCATGTAAAAGACGAACACCATATAGATGATACTAGTAAATATATGATTAGGGATTAATTTCCAATATTTTATAATATGGGAATTAAGTTACTCTAGCCATGTCAATGGAATCTATCCAATTAGGATATATTCTTAAATTAGCTAATACAAAGACTAGTTAATTCTGTGAAATGCTGACTTAAAATATTTCAATCATTCTTTATAAGAATGCATGTAGTTTATCAACAATTACAATTGTATTTGTCATTGTATAATTTTGGAGTTATATTCTTGGAACAAAATATAACTATTAATTAATTTTGTATGGATTACCCTAGTTATTTTTCTAATTAATTTTTATAATACATAGTGTGGATTATTTTAATGATATGCCTCCAAATACCAAGAGCTTTATCCTGTGCTTCCATTAATTTATGTAATATTTTGTACAATTTTGTTAACTAGGGTAAATAGTTGAGTTGTTGTATTAATTTACTTAATGATATAAAGCAGTGGTTGGCAACCTTTGTGGACCCTTGGACCACATTCACAAATTAAAAAGGGTTTACGGGCCAGACAATACATAAAATTGATATAATATTCAATGACATTTACTAGTTTTGGAATTTAATGAGGACCTTATAAAAGAGATGTGTGGGCCGGATTTGGGTTATCGGTTGCCGACCACTGATATAAAGCTTGAACTATTGGCGCAATTAGAATGTAAAATCTGATGTTATTATTAAAACTAAAAAGAATATAGATAAATATACCTATTATCAATAATTAAATTAAGTTTATCAATTGTGCTTTGTTCAATTAATGAATAGCTCAATTTCTATAACTCTTTAAAATATCTAAATATGTTACAAATATATTTTAATTTAATTCTTTATCTTTAACTTATTAATCTTTCTAATTGCGCTAATGATATAAATTAATTAATTGTTATTAATATTATTATGATAAATATGTATTAATTGTATTTTATTGGTAAAATTGAAATATAAAAAAAAACATAATAATTAATAATTTTCTTTTTAATATTAAAAATATGTCTTAATAAACCAATGTACTGTACATAGAAAGTAGAGAATTTATAAATTAAATTTGTAGTGATTTATAATTTTACTTTTAGATTCTTGATTCTTAGTTATACAAATGAAGAATTTGTTCAATTTTTTTAAAATATGGTATTATTTTTTTTTTCAAATAAACCCTCGGCAACAATGGTCATTTGATGATTTTAATACTAGTGAGAGCAAAGAAAAATAAAAGGAAAACAAAAAGGCGTTATTACTGAATTACGTGTAGTTTGGCTATAAGTTGTGACTAATTGTGACTGAATAGTTTAATGTAAATATTTAAGATAATGAGAATTTGAACTTTAGATGATATGATTATATTTTTTTTTGTTAACTTTGCTGTTATGATGAATTTGATTGTGTTGGTTAATGAATTGAGGTCCTGATTGATGAGGGCTTTGGCGAGTGACTCAGGGAGGTTGGAATTTTTTCGGTCCTTGTTGTATATGCAGCATTCGGTAAAAATATGTTTTTATTGATGCATACTCTGCATGCGGTACATATCGGTGCTTCTTCTTTGGACATTAGTTGTGTGGCCGATTCTTAGCGTGATAATTATGATTTCGAACTTTCTGGATAGTTTAAGGGGAAAAGGCCAGTGATGTATATTTTGTTTTGTTTGGTGGATTTAGATTTCCATTGTTGGTGCCATGTAATTTGTGTATTTGTTTTTAATTAAATTTAATACATCGATGCGAGAGATAATTTTAAGAGGTGATGATTGTGTGAATGTGGTAGCGTTTTTGGCAGTTTGGTCAGATTATTCACTCTCATTGATGTTAGAATGTCCGGGGATCCAGAAAATTTTAATAATAATAGTAATTATAATTTAAATTTTGAAATTGTTCTTATGGAGATTATGTATATAATTTTGAATATGGGTATTAATATCTGACGTCTTATGGGTGTTTTTGATGCTGTTGATTGCACTGAGTGAGTCAGTAAATATAATAGTGTCTGAGGATATGATTATTTATGATGTGTAGGGCTTTGAGGTTGGCATTCCGCAGTGAATATTGATCAAGCGTTTGGAAGTTTATGCATGAATTCTTGTTCGTTCCATATGACAGCTGCACCTACGTCGTTCTGGTCTTTTGAGACATCAGTATATATTTTTTCACTGTGGAAAATGTATGTTAATATTTTCCATAAGAATACATTTTATTTATAAATATATTTGTCTCATGCAATTATGATTTATGTTTTATCTTCAATAAAAATTATTATTTTCTTATCTAAATCTTCTTAAAAGTCAAAACCATTATAGAAACAAATAATATTATCAAATATATTTAAGTTTTATTTTAGCACTAATTATTTTTCAGTTTTAAGTGTAGCCCATGACTGTTGTTCTCCTGAAGCAAATATTGCATAAAATATTGCCCCAAATAAATATATGCCACTAGTAATTAAAAACAACCATTGCCATTCGTCTGCACTCTAAAAATATAAAATTTACATTTTAAAATATTTGATGAGTTAAATAATGGTATTGTGGAAATACCAACTTTATTTTTTATAATAAATCCAGTTAGCATAGGGCTTACAATACCAGGTATAGTTGCACATGTGTTGGAAATTGCCAGTAAAATGCTGGCATATTGGGGTGCTATATCCAAAGGGTTAACGCTAAAAAATATAAATATTGTATCAGCTGGTAAAAAGTATTTTTTTTTACAATTTAAATAAAAACTACCTGAATCCACTCCAAGCAAATGCACCAAGCCCAACAGCAAGTGTTAAATTAATTAAAAATCCAATTTTAGTGGTGGAATTTGCAGCTAAATACATGAAGATAGTTTGGCTTATAAAAGCGCTACAGTTGAATAGCTTTCTAATCTATAAAAATAAATTTAGAACTTTGTGTTTATAGTACGATTAATACCTAAGATTGAGTTCATATATACCTGTGTAGTTGTAAATATTTTTTTTTTCCTAAGCCAGTCGACAAAGAATCCACTTAATGGACAAGTAATAGACATGACAAGGTATGGTATTGCTGACAGAAAACTTCCTTTTTCAATACCAAATTTCATTACATCTATTGTCAAATAAATTAGTTAATTTATCATCATCAATATTTAAAAAAAAAATTATTAATCTGACCATTCATGAAGGTTGGTAATTGAGTAAATAACGTGTAAAATCCCCAATTCTCACAAAAATGGGCGCACGCTATTGACCACACTGGCATGGACGTAAATATATCTTTCCAGGGATAACTTGAAATATTAACTTAACAAAAATAGTTTTAACGATACTTATTAGTTATTTTCAATGCACACGTGTTATGCATTTGCCAAAATCATAAAATCAAAATGGTAAAGTAAAAAAAAACAAAAATATGGTTCAACGACAAATTTTACTTTTATTGTCATCCGTCGGACCAATTGAATCGATAATGTATCTAAGTTCTTCTTTACTTATGTGTTTATCTTCTACTGGAGATTCACTGATGCACATAAGCCAAACGACACACCATATTACAGCGATAAGCCCTTACAAAAAATATGGATTTAACGTTTATCTAATGCATTTTATAGGTATAAAGCTTTTGTGTATTATACCGGGTACATAAAATGTAGAAGGCCAACCATAATTTTCGGCTAACCATCCACACAGTGGATATCCAATTACCGTGCCCGTATAAGCGCCGGAGAAAGCAAATAACGTCAACCTAGTGTATTCGGCAGGCGGGGCCCATCTCGACCACACAGCAAGATTACTAGGGTAAACGACTCCCTAAATTGATAAAAACAAAAATAATGTCTTCCGTCAATAGTTAAGTAACAGAAACAATGAAATTATATTCCCATCTAAATCTTCAATATCTATCCATTGGCGCACAAACAGGAGGCGCTTAGCAACCCCAGTTTATTTTGAGGTAAAAATATTATTTTAAGAGGATTATTTTGTATTTATAAGAATGAGTAAACTCAAGTTTGGATTGGTGATGCACTAATGCTACGTACGTACAACTGACATACATATATTATACCTACATGTATGTATGTAGTTAGAGCAGCGATCCCCACCAGTGGCGTAATTAGGAATTTGGTTTGGGGGGGGGGGGGATTATAGGTTTTAGCAAAATCTATACAGCTCATACAATAACCCCCACCCCACCCCACCAGAACAAAATTTTAATAATAATAAATAGAGTAATCGTAATAATAATAAATTATATATAAGTAAATTTCCACATGATTTTAGTGTTGTCATGAATAAAACAATTTAAATCGTCAATTTTATCAGAGCTAGAGATTTAAATCACCGAAAATTTAAAGAATTTCTTTCCGAACTTGATTTCCAATAAATGATAATATGTTCCATATTGAAGTATGATGGCTAAGCAAAGGTAAAGTCTTGAACGTTTTTTTTTTCTCTTCGTGAAGAAATTAATTATTTATCCACGAACAAAAAGCTAAATTTCCTGAAATAAATTAATTAGCATTTCGGTATAATCTTGCATTCTTTGCAGATGTAACTCAAAGTTTAAATATACTTCAAACCAATCTGCAAGGAGAAAATAAACTTACATGGACAGTAAGATTTTTGCTTTTGAAGAAAAGCTCAAAATGTACACTGAAGTATCTGATAATGAGTTTTCCAAGTTTTCCCAAATTCGATTTAATGACGAAAGAAAATAAAAAATTTTCTGATGATACGGATATAGGAACTCTGAAACCTCAATTGCTTGAATTATTGGGCACTTTAAAAAATTTAATGAACAGTCGTTTCAATGATATTAAAAACTTAAGAAATCCATTTCGATTTATTGAAAATCCGTGGACAGTAAATACAAAAAAAATATTATGAACTGTAATAGTGTTTTATTGAAAAGCGAATTAATTGACTTACAGCTGGACATAACATTAAAAGATACTTTTAATGGTAAAAATAATGCAATGGAATTTTAAAATACACTTGAGGAACATCAATATCCTTCCCTTTTACCAAATGTAAAAGCTATTCTTACATTTTTTGGATCGACATATTTATGTGAAGTTAAGTTATTAAGTTAACATTTATAAAAAACAAATACAAAAATCGTTTGATCGAGGTGCATTTTGACGATTTACTGCGGTTGTCAACATCAAATACACCCGAAGACATAAACAAGATTATAAAAGAAACAGAGAGGTACCGTCCATCAAGTAAAATCAAATATATGTGAACAAATTGAAAAAAAAAAGTCATTTCATTAAGTACAATTTCAAATAAATTTAAATAATAATTCCTTGATGTCTTCAAATGTTTACATCATTATCATTATTTAAAAATTGACAAATATTTTTTCTAGAATTTTTGAAAGTACATAGATTTTATAATTATTTAAATATTGCGTCTATATTGGGCCATTATTAAATTATTTCTAAAATGTAAATTATTGTACAAACTTCTAAAAATCCCTCGATGACTCTGAAAACTATTAGAAGATAAACTGAATATCTGACAATCATGGGCGTAAATATGGTGAGAACTGCTGTGCTTAAGATTCCAAAACCGATCACTTTCACGCCTCCAAACTTCACGCCAAGTAGACCTCCAATCATTTGTGTACAGATGTATCCGTAAAAGAACGAACTTAAAATAACGCCTCGTAATTTTGGACTCCAATCGTCAAATTCGCTTGACTGAAAAAATTCTATAATTAATTATTTTTGTTAATAATATATATATATATATATATATATATATATATATATATATATATGTGTATTTAATAATAACTATTAGCTGATGGACCAAGGCTCAACTATTGAGGCTTTAATCCAATAATAATAGCAATACTGTTAACTTATTAATTATTTATAGTTTTTTTTTTTTTTATAATCATATATGTTCATAGTTTATACTTATAGTATTATATTGATAAGTTATTTAGTATTTAATTTCACAATTTTTCTATAAATCTTCTTCTCCTTCGCCTTTCTCCCAACTATTTGTGGTCGGCTATCCTTATCTTGAATTCCACTAGTCTTGATTTTCTACATCCCTACCCACACATCAACAGTCTATTTTCTCTCATCTTGTCCACTATTGACACTACACTAATAATACCTCTCAAATATTCATTCCTTATTCTATCTTCTCTTATCACTTCACTCATCCATCTAAGCATTCTCATTTTCACAACACTTACTCTATTATATTCTGTTATTATATTATTTATTTTTAATTTGACTATAAAAACAATATGCAAAAAAAAATATTACGTATTATATAAGTGTTATTAATTTTATATCGGACTTAAGAATTTTAATTAATTTAATAAAAATAAAACAAACATTATTTTTTATGTAACCATTATTATATTTTGATACCTAATTATATCTGGTATTTATAAATAGTATCTTTAACATTATTGTAGTATCTATCTAGAATCCTGTATCTCTCGTAGACGTACTACTATAAATACAATTTGTTATAATTTATACAAAATATAATACAATTTAAAAAAATAAACAATAAGAATTTAAATTAGAAAGTAATTATTTCGTGTAATATTACTACTATACATAAACATATTTTAACATGTTACTTTCCCATTCGTTCACTTATCAATATTGATATCAGTTTAAACTAGGTATATAAAACTTATGAATGAGTAGGTACATTTCATATTTTCATTAGTAACATCAAAAACTTCACGTATCTTTATGTAGGTATATATATATATAGGTATATAGGTACATCGTATATATTGAACATGCTTACCTTTGTATCCGAGGATGATGTCATGGCTACGATTCCTACACTTAAATTCACTCGAAGAGTGTAAACGTTGACAAAACCTAGAAATGCCAGGAATGCAACCAAGTTCCGGCGCTGTTTCCAAAACGGTGGCTGTCCATTTCTATTAAATTATGTACACAATATTGTATAAAGTATTTCTCAAATATTTTTAAAATATTTTCAAATAATTTCATATTGGTACAATTGTTCTAATTTGCTAAAAAAAGAGGTTCAAAGACATAATAAGAAAATTATTTAAGATTTACTATGTTACTATTATAGTATTTTACAAAAGCTAAAAATTAAAAATATAGAAAAGTATAATTAAATTATATTATATTATATTTTTTTTAAGCCATAATTTATTTTTATAACTTGTTGCGTAGAAGGAATACAAACAATAAATAAAATTGTAATCAAGATAATAAACATTGAATTATTTATGAATTTAAGTATTTTAAATAATATTGGATATAACGAAAACTATTTAAATACTTGTATACGAATACTTAATAAATCAATATAGGTACAATTTTTTGATGTATAATTTATAACTTCCATAATTTTAGTATGATAAAATAAGAAATATTACCCTAAATTTGTCTGTGTCTGGTCCATGGTAAACTATGTTATGTTTATGAAAACGCAGTAAGAAACAACTAATTTTATGATGTTAAATATTTAATTTTTATAGATAAGATAATTTAGCTACCAATATAATACAGTAAATTTGACTGTTCTTGTTTGTCAATGGTTGGAAGTGGTTTTAATTGTTTATAAATTGTATAATTCGAAAGTATATTTCTGAATAGTATTTTTAATTGTATGTTTATCTTTAACTGGGCCTTCGAATTAAGAATGCTAGTTTTCATAGGCTATTTTTGGAGGGGAATGAGTAGTGGGGATAAAGCTTATCCACGTCACTGTTGTTAAAATCACTTAATATTTATAATTAATGAAATAATGATATTTTCATTTACTCATCTAAACATTTTTTTTTAAATAAACTCTCAACCTTATACCGAAGTTATTCTCATGAATAAAAAATCAATTATCCCACCAATAATTTAAAATTTCAATTTGATTAATTTTAATCAATGACAAAGGTGTACAACTTTTATATCAAACATCACTGAGAATATTGTATAATACAACATACATTTTTTTTAGATTAGAATTAAAATGTTATCTGAGTAATCAGTGTACGATCTTATGTTTCACCTATTTCCAAAGGTCTTACCCATACAATTTTTTACAGAGCAATGATATCATAGTAGAACATATACTTTTTTTTATTGTTTATAGTTTTCAGTAATTTTATTAAATTATTTTTTAGGACGAATCAACAAATCTAAATAACGTGGCTCGTTCATACATTGTAATTACTTTGTGTCTTTGTTAATAATTTTTTTTATTTTTTTTTCAACATAATCATTAGAATTAATGTTATTAATGATTAAATGTTATATTGTAATTATTTATCACTTAAGTTGATAAGTGGCTTATTATAATTTTTAAGCTAGTTTATTATGCCTATGTACATATTATAAAACAGTTCATTTTGTTCATTTTTACAAGTATGTATTAACATTGATTATATTCTTTTTTCTTTATTATGAAATCAAATTCCAATTATCAATATATTTATATGTATAACTAATATGTTATCATCATTACAATAACAATAATAATAATTTTGTTTTTACAATGAAAATGATTTTTTTATGTTGCAATCGTGAGTAAACGTTTTAATCAATGATAAATTAAATTTTTCAGCTCACTAATTTTCTACCGAAATTATCACAAGCCCACTAACCCGCGTTTGGGACATGGTGCTTCATAAATTATTTTTTTATTAATTTAAGTTTTGAGAATGTACTTTTAGCACTTTTTACAATAACCGGTAATATAACAAATAAAATACCGTTAAGAAGTCAGAGAAATAACGTTAAGGATATAAAATTATACTCGTGTAAACTATTTTTAACACTTATTAATAGTCACTAAGTACTATCGCGTTGACGTCAAATAATCCGTATACAGTGTATACGTGATTACTGAACGTGTATAGTATACACGTTCAGTAACCACTAATGATTATATTTCGTATTATTTTAATATTCCATGATTTTATTTACTTGAACTGAAATCTTATTAAAAAGGAAAGAATTTGGAAGTTTATTGATTCCGCCGAAACTACCTGCTCAGAAAAAAGGTTTATATTGATTTCGCCGGCTACTGTTTATAATATTTACAAATCGATTCCGCCGGACGCTGTTCGTCCCCCCCCCCCCCCCACTGCAGCTTGTAATATTTAATTACACGTCTACATTTTATAAAATTATGGTAACTGTTTAATTCAATATAACATTAATATAATTGTATAGTGTACTTAAATATATATTTACCAAGACTGAATGTTTCCACCAATTTTGTCTCAAACTAAATATACATCCAACGATCCGTATTTTGGGCCATATTCGTTTTGTACCAATATGTATAGATTCCACAAAATTGGAAACTATTTTTGGTGGAGTGAATAATAAATTAATTTTTGAATATTTTTCCACGATATATTCAAACGATCGTGCACGTATATCTTTACATCTATCTAGTAATAAAAAAATTATACGAGTGAAATATATGTGTATCGTAAAAAGCTGATGAAA